CACACACACACACACACACACACACACACACACACACACACACACACACACACACACAGAGACACAGTGAAGCAAGTGAAGTGATATTGTTGACAACAGTGAAGCAAGTGAAGTGATATTGTTGACAACAGTAACGCTTGTTAGTTTTATAGTTAAAAAATAAAAACCATCTGTTCAACACAGTCCGCAGGTGATATGATTTACATAAACAAAGCTATGTGTTGCTAAGGTAATTAGCAAATTAAAATGGAGATGCTAGTTTGTCATGAACCTGTTTATACTCTCATGAACTCATATACTGTCTGAGAAAAAACAGCCCTCCTCTCTCCATCTCTAACAGTGGAGCCTGTAGACAATCACAGCAGCCGTGGAGAGAGGACAGAGAAGCGACTGATACTGACTTATGTCAGATTATACAAATCATATTTTATGATGTGAAAAGGATGTAATGGAACTTCTTGCATATGATCACCGTGCTTTTACACATCATATACTTATACGTTTATTTGTATAGCACTTAACTAAACAAGGTTACAAAATGCTGCACAAAAATCCATGGCAAAAAATGAATGAACTAATATAAAAAGTATCTAACTAGTTAGATTTAAGGAGCCAAATCATAACATAATAAGGTCAAGACCTTAAAAATGATAGAGAAACAACAGTTCCCACAATGAGCAGCACTTTGGCGACTGTGGAGAGACAACACCTCATTAACTAGAAAAAAACTCTAGAACCAGACTCAATGTGGGTGGCCATCTGTCTCGACCGGTTGGGGTGAGCGGATGAAACAGGGAAGAGAGGAGAGGTGGGTGGTAAAGAGGGGTGAGAATTTTCAAACTAATTCAAACACCTACTCTCATAGGCAGTGGAGTCAAAAGCTGTCCTATTTAAGAAACTACATTAAAAAAAAGTGGTTACAATGAAAGTAAGATAAAGTAACACAGTAGTACCAGTAATACGAGACCTACAGTTTGTTTCAGTTAAAATACGGGCAGCAGTATTTGAACAAGTTGCATACGAATTACTAAGGTTTGACTAAGGCACGTACAAAGTGCATAGCAATAATCCAGATGGGAAAAGACAAAGGCATGTAAGCTTTTCTAAGTCAGGGAGAGATAGAACTGATTTAATTTTAGAATTATTTTGTAGATGAAAGCAGCAGGATTTAATGATTTCATGAACATGTTTTAAAATTCAGATGGAAATCCAATGTGACAGCTACATTTTTTGCTGTTGTTTTAATATTGGTTTTAAGGGGACCGATAAATGATAGGAGTTTGCCTGCTCTAGCTGGTGGGGACCAAAGATTATTATTTCAATTTTGTTTGAGTTTAAAAGAAGGAAATTAAGGCCAAATCCTTAATACTTACTTAATGCAAGTTAGGCATTCTGTTAAGACACTCACAAGGCAGACGTTGTCTGGTATAAAAGACAGATTTCAGCATAGAAATGATAGGATATCCCTTTAAAATGGCTGATGACATTTCGTAATGGAAGCATGCACAGCAAAAATAGGATGGGAACAGAACCTTGTGGCACCCCACACATTATTCGTGCCGAGGACGAGATGTTATTTCCAATGGAAACAGAAATTTCGCGATCTGAGAGCTAAGACTTGAATCATCTTAGGGCACTTCCAGATATGCCAACGCACTGTGTTAGTCTATTGATGAGGATGTTATGATCAATGTTGTCAAATGTGGCTCTGAGGTCAAGGAGCAGTAATTACGGAGCAATCACCAGCATCGATCATTGCGAACAGAGATTGAGCTTGAAAGGGAGAGTATGTGTTTGAGTGTATGATGGGATACATACAAGCCCTCCCTGTAGCCATCGATGAGGGCCTGGAACAGTGGCTTGTTGTGGGGGATGGTTTGCAGGATGTTCCCATCATTAGTCACATAACCGATGGCCCACTGGCCCAGCCGTGTACAACTCAGTCTGAAGATGTAACTGTAAGAGATGGAGGGAGGACAGATCAATATGGTGTAAAACAATCAATGCATACATTTTTGGATGAAAACTTCTTGAAACTGAAAACACTTATACTTTAAGATTTACTTTCAAGTATAAGTGTTTTCAGATAAATGTAAACTATAACATCCTTATGTAAATTTGTATTTTTACAAGCAGAACTACAAAGGAATCAACTGATACATTTTCATTTTGTGTCTTGCATTTGTTCTTTTTATTCATTGTATTCTTCTGTACATGTTACTTTTGAGATTACGTAAAATGAAATGTGTGAACGACAGGATGGACATGACATGGATCTCATTTAATGTAACAGTGGTACATGTCTTTCCTTTCAACACTTAATTGTATTTGTAAATATTGTTTCATAGAATAGCTGTACCAAGACAATATATTTTTAATAACCCTGAATATAACTTTATTGATCCAATGATGCTGGTTTTGATCAATCAAATATTTATCCATTGCATAGTTCACTTTACCTTTGCAGTCTCATATTAGTAGTACAATAGTACCCAACTTATATACATAAAGTGCTTCATAGTCCACCCAGGAGCTGCTTTTCTTTCAAGTTATGATTTGCTCACTTATCAGATATTGTGTATAGGCTCAAAAACTATCAGTGGATATTTAGTCTTAAAATAAGGTGTAAATGATGCAGTTTTGAGTCCAATATAAATGTCAGGGCTTGCGGACACTTGGATGAGACCACACCAGCTGTATGGAGGCAGGTTATGTTTTTTCTGTTATTTTACATTATATTACGTCTGAAGTCTTGGTCACCAGTTACTTCAATTGTATCGGACTCGGCTGCAACAAAGTTTACTTCTGAGACTCCAGAAGTGTTTTGTGGACTCAAACACTTCACCCACCCTTCCATCGGCATAGTGGTGAGTAGATAATGAGTTTCTTTTTTTGGTGAACTATCTCTTTAAGGTTAGGTTCAGGGTTAGGCAAGTACTTACCATAATCATGGAGACATGACCGTGTGTATGTGTGTTTGCGTGCATGTGTGTGCAGAAAATATATTTTTTACACTGACCTTATGTGATCAATATCTATATTGATATGATAAATATACAGTCTATGGATCAACTTTATTTGTGTGACCACTGCAGAGGATTACAACTTACAAACCTTTCAACAACTGAGAAATGAGGCAATAAACAAAAAAATGCGATGTGAAATGGCAACTTTGAACCTTTACCTTTGCCTCATACAGTATATAACTGAACAGGATCAATCAATGGTGCTTTTGCTGCATTGTTTAAGCTTCATCATAGAGGGATTTATTTGTGCAACTCACAACTGAAAGGAAACCTGCGAAAGTCTGATCAGGGCAAATGTGTGAAAAAAATAGACAGAGGAAGTGTTAGAAATGCAGTCCAGCAAGAACACTGGTCTTAGAGTGAGCCTTGACCACAGCAAAGCCACTGAGGAGTGAGGATACACGCTACATTGAAGTACGATCAGTAAATCATGAGGTGACTTTTTACTGGATCTGTAGGATCTGACTTATCCAAATGCTTGCGTAGAAGTGTATTTTTGCATGTGCGTAGGTGTGGTTTTGTGTTTGAGTGTGTCTGAGTGAGCTGAAGTGATAACATGTAGCAGCTCATCTGAAATGACTGTCTCCACCCACACAGCTGTGTGTGTCTGTGTGTGTTTGTTCCACTGGTGGTTCATAACAATGGCATTTGCATGATTCATTCGGAGATCTGCGCCCTTTACATTTGCATACTCAGACACTCACTTACCCCATCCACATTTCCTTACCCACAGACACACATTTTTGTGTCCTGTCATTATCTGCTACACCATGTGATCACACAGGAGGGGGTCAGGGCTACACCAGCCTCGCAATAAATTAGCAGTGTTCCTAAAGGTATTTTCTTGAGCTACTTCTTCTTCCCAACCAGTAACTAGCACAACACCAAACACAGCTTGTCGGCATTTGTCCCAGCACATGCCAGACACATACACAGACGCACGCACAAACTGTGTCTATTACTTTTGTGAGAATGCTGTGATGCCATGAGTTTGACTTACTTGACTCATAATTAAAAGTGAGGTGCTGTTTGCAGACTGCACCCACCTGTATATACAGGTATCCACCTCCACAGTTTAATCTGGTCTTAGACAGGATATCCTTAGATGAAAAATATTTTTGCAGTTTGTTTAGGAATCATTCACACTCTGATTATATCATAAGGGTGGAAACAAAGGTATGCCATGTTCTATGAATATATAGGACAGTAATAAGAAGATTTATGAAGGTTGCTCAGATTGTGACACAGACGTGTGACAGTAAAGGATGACACTCACGACACACATAAATCCAATGGAAATTCTGAAAAATTCAATATTTCTGACTGACATCTGTTCCCTTTCTGTTTGCGCTCTAAGGCCATTTTCCACAGTGATCAACATAGTAAATATTCATGTGTGTAAGTGCAGAACTGGGAGATCAGTGGTTATATCCATGAAAAATGGACCCTGAAGCGGCTGGTTGACTTTCAGACCTGGCTGACAGTCAGCACCCACAGAAGCTGTAGGTGACTGGTGGAAGGGGTTCAGATAAGTAGAGGATAAACAATTCCAAACTTATCAAAGAGGCAGTAGAAGGTCCAATTTCAAGGTTCTTATTTTTCTCTCATAGCTGTGCCAGAAAAAAATATGGACACATTTTTAAGTACCAGAATTTATCAATGTAAGCATCAAAGCTGAATCTGATCACACTTCAGACCTTTGCATACTAGACACATTTTCCGATGTGATTAATTCATATATTGTTATTATTTTTGAACTTGTGACCAACCAATGAAAGCATTCACTTCAGTGATGGCATTTCTCGAAGCAAAATTACAGCTTTTGTTTTTTTGTGGGACCAAATGGAATTTTTCCAGGTTTTCTTTTTTTCCCGAAATTGAGACATCTTAACAATTAGAATGTGTTTTTTAGCTGACTGTGAAATAATTAAGCAAACCTGCAATTTCCTCCTCAATCCAAAATAAAATGTACATCCTCCTGTCTGATATAAGTTTAATTGTTGATATATTTAATATATTTGTATTAGATGCTGCTTAAGTTATTTCCGTCTGTAAAATAATGTAATTGTGATGTAGTCCCCTTGAAGATAGGATAAAGCAACCCAAGTCGAGGAAAAAAATGAAAAAACAAATGCACAGGGCTGTTGTCAAACAAACGGGACCTACTTCAAATTGCTGAAGAAAAAAAAACACAATTTTTTAACTAAACTATTTTTTCCCAGAGGACACCTACAGTAAACAATTTCGAACAACTGCAGTGCAGCAAACACGGCACAAAATAAAATCCCCCCAAATATATTGTACAATAAGTAAGGTAAGCAAGCCGGGCTACATGCAAAGCTAAAGGCTAACCCCTACAGACCAATGCTCCAAAGTCTATTCCTTGCCAACTCTTGGTCTCTTTCAAACAAGATGGATAAGATTAGAATGAGAATTATGCCTCATTGTGTGACCATAATCACAGTGACCTGGCTGAACAACCACATCCTGGACACGGCTATCGAAGTAGTCAGCTGCTCTGTTTACAGAGTAGACCTAATGAGGGACTCCGGGATGAGCAGTGTGTCTTTACGGGAACAACAGCTGGTGCACAGCCGAAGACATTATATATACAAACACTGCTGCCCAGACCTCACGGTAAGGTGCACACCGTTCTTTCTTCCAAGGGAATTCACAATATTAATTTTGGCAGCATATATTCCCCCACAAGCTAAAGCTCAGGTAGCGCTTGAAAAGTTGCTTGACATCATCAACAGACAGCTGGTGGCTCATCTAGACAGCTAGATCATCTTAGCAGGGGACTTAAATCATGCAGATCTCAAACTGGTCATACTGAAATAACGATAACCATCTTAAAGCAACAACAAGATACATTACCTTATCACTTTGCATCTTGCCAATAGCTGTGTCTTATTTCCACTCCTTCCAAAACAAATGCACATGCTGGCTAGACAAGGTTTTTACGACAGGAGACAGTAGAAACACTACTGCTTTTGTCCACAGAGGCACCTTGTGGGGGCTTTAATTAGAGTTTTTTCTGTCAACAGTCGCCCAAAATGCACTTGTTGTGGGAACTGATGGGTTTCACCAATTTTGTAAGGTCTCAACCTTACTACGTAAACTACCTTGAGATAATGTATGTTATGATTTGGCACTATACAAATAAAATTGAATTGATGTGAATTATACAATTTATGGTAATCAAACTAGTCTGACCTTTGCCAAAAGTGTGATTGGACAAAATTGTCAGATGAGACATGGATCATGAAAAAATAAAAAAACGCAATATAATGTAATATTAAGTTAACAGCCAGGGTGGAGTGTAAAGGCATCAGCCATCATTGACAGCAGGCTGACATGTCTCATATCATTTACACATTTTTGGGCAGTATCTTGAGAAGGTACGGCACTTTGTTGTTCATGTCAGCAGTGACAGACACAGTTGTGTACCACCAATTTTGGCGGGTCAGCCATAGACCACTCTAATCCTCAGGTGCACTGATGCTCCATCATTCTTCAACATATGCAGTTTTTAATTTCTTAATAATGATATATAATAATAATAATAATAACAATACATTTTATTTCTTGTTGTGGTGACTTTGGTGAAACTGCACTGTAGTATTTTGTGTTAAGTGTTAAGGTACTTTAAATACACACTCAGTAACTATACCTTCCAGGCTTGTTGATGTACTTGTGCAGTCTGGCTTTGACCTCATCATAGGTAAGGAAGGCCATGTAGCCAGGGTGAGTCACTGCTAGGAAATTCCAGTTTCTCAGAATTGATCCCCATGGCTGAAAAAAAGACCACCCAGAGTTGTTTAAACAAAACAGATTATTACACATTGCACATTTATTTTTTTCATATTTTCAACATCAAATCGTCCTGAGTCTGCCACAAGAAGTGATAAAGGGTAGGTTAACTTGGCTGCATCAGAATTCTCTGTGTGTCACCAAACAGGAAAACAACAAAGCTTGTGCATTGCAACTCACTGTGTTTGGCTTTGTTTACTGCTGGTTTGAGTTATGCAGATGCCAAAATGGTTGATGTGGAGGAGAACTAGCTAATATTATGCTGAGGGGAGGAGTCAGTTTACTCGACTGCTCGGCAGGAAAGATTCAATGAATGATGTGTGAAATATGTTATCAACAATAAATTAATATGTAACTTTATATGGACATATAAAAGAGACACTTGAAAACACAGCACAAAGACAAGAGAAAGTTTTGCTGTCTTATAATGACTGTTTTTTCCCCTCCTGTGTAACAAGCACACTTCCTGCTTAAAGCAAAACTGTAACCTTTACTGAGCAATAGCCTCCTGTACAGCCAAATATAGTATTTCATTTCAATGATCTCTTAGCTCATTAACAGAAAACTAAGCCTATATCCATATCTCATCTGAAACTATCTGCATCAAATTGAAATGTGGCCAAACTTGTATACTGCTCATGATTCCTGAACTGCTCTCACAAACTCTATGTAGAATTCTTGATTTTTTTTAACATTTCCTTATTGAATATAGGAGATAAACACTGTTTTTTTTTAACTGATCCACAGTTCATTCCTCCTGCTGGGTATGATTCCAGCTGTTTGAGCCACTGTCTATCATTCAGTAACACACCTTTCACCTCCTACAAGTCAGTGTACCAATGATTTTGAGGCTTATTTTATTGTATAGTAAAATAGATGCATAATGTTCCTTGAATCCTGAATCCAGAAATTCTGCCTCTTGAAAAAAGGATATTAGTATTGACAGAGAAGCGATGTACATCAGATCCCTGAATTAAGATCATAAAGGTTGTGTGGGAGGGCATCAGTGGGGCTGCCAGTTGGCTCCATGTGGTGCCACGTCATTCACCTCCATGCAGCCTGTTAGCTGAGCTCACCAGGGACAATAATCTGCTGCCCAAACTGTATAGTCGGTTTGGCAAATGAATAACTGGCCTTTGAGCTGAAAAGGCAATGGAGCAAGCCCTAACCACTCTGTGAGTTTGTTGATTTGAGCAGTACACTGGAGAGTGGCCCTGCCCAAAGAGGCAGTCGACAGCCAAATGGAAAAAATACACTTAACTATTGAGTGGGACACAGTCAGACTGGAAAGCAAGCAAAACACTGTTCTGTCATTCTGTTCTTCATTGGTTCCATCACACATTTTGTACATTTTAATGATAGTGAAAGAAGTTTCCACAGACAATAACTCAAGTAATTAAGCATAAGACCTGTCCAACCTTACAAATGTTTAGCCCATTTTCATTCTTTGTTCTCTAACCCTTTGCTTGTCTCCACCAGGATTCCCAACCAGTGAATCAACAGGCCACGGGCATGAGGCTGACCACAGGGGACTAACAGGGACTAAGTTACAACAGCCTTGAAGTGGCTTCCCAGATAACTTCTACCTACCACTGTATTTGTACAAGTACACTGACAGCCCATGAGTTCATGAAAAGTCAAAAAGCAATAAATCGGATGTTCCAGTTTTTTTTAACCATCTTAAAAAGCAACACATTGTGGCACTGATCCTGACAAAATCAGTCTAGTATTCACATGCTTATTTTTCATGCTCAGAGTAAACATGCAAAGTACAAAGGTTTTGCCAAAGTAAAGCATCGCTTTGAGGCCTCACCGCCCACACACCATCTTGAAGCCACATGGGCCTGTAATCTGGCAACAGAGGGGAGCTAAAGCCACATAGAGTACATCCACAAATTTCAAAGGAGAACAAAAATAGAACTGAAAATATGCAACAGGAAAATGGTTTATATATTTCTTTTTCTCATTTGCTGTTAATTTTCTGTATCAAATACGTTTCTGTCACCCTGTTGCAGTTGGCTTAAGACTCTGATACTGTCCATAGTTTCAAGAATACATTCAACATCCATATGTATGAGAAATGGCTTATTTCAGTTTTAGGTAATACTACATTTCGACGATTCCTTGAACAGATATGGCCTTCCCAAGCACCATGTCTGCACCGTCCAGCTCTGCCATCTTTGAAACTTCCTATATATGAGCAGACCTGGTAAAAGCACAGTTTGGAGAAGGGAACACCTGCAGATGTGTCAACACATATAATAACAACACCAGCCACTTCAAGTATCCTTTTGTTGAAACATTTTCTGTTTCTGGTTTACCCTCTGGGGTCTCGGAAAGGATTACTCCAGAATGACATAGCTCTTCTCCCTGTTTTAAATGTGGCACTTTTGGGTGTCATTTCTTGCAGTAATTTGACAGCATGTCTGGATTGTTATGTCACATCAAAGAAAGATTTCAAATGCAACTCAGACTAAAACAGATCCAAAACACCTTTGCAAGAATCATCACAAAAAAGATGTGTACAAAAGTGAAAACCAACTAGAGACACTGAGTCAAAACCTGTTGTATGGAACCAAGAGAAAAGCACCCTTTCCTGTGTGAAAATGGTTAGATTTTTGTTTAGACCAACCTGGAAAAGGCGTGTGAAGATGTCGAACTCAAACACAGAAATATAGTCATTGCAGGTGAGATCGATGGTGGATTTGAGGGCCATGGCTTCCAGGCCCGAGCTGATGTGATGCAGTTCATGAAGGCACTGTCGAAAGACTTTCCATGGCACTATTGTCCTGAAAAAGAGCAACAAATCCAATAATAAAACCAGAGATACAAGCAGCTTGTGGTATAACTGGTGTTTATCAAATATCATCACACATACACCAATCCATTAGCTATACCCACTTATCTGAGAGTCATGAGCAGGCTAAGGTCAATCCCAGCTGATTCTGGGCAACTAAAGGGTCACACAGGTCACCTCTTAGATTTTGTTTTCCAACAAAATATGTATCTTTGTTTAGCAAAATGCAAAATTTTAGAATACAATAGAACTCATACAAGTGTACATGATACAAATTCACAGCTCGTGTGAAGATTCATACTGAGACTGAATGTTTGTTCTACCGATACAGCTGTTACACTTTCAGGGGGATTAACAAAGCTTTGGTTTTATGCAAATTAACACAATTAAAAGGGTCGCTGTGGCTCAAAGTGGTTCGTCCACTAACCAGAAAGTCAGTGGTTTCAGCGTCCATTGTGCATTTCATAGTGTCCTTGGGGCACTGAACACTAATTTTTTCCCTGTGTGATAGAGAAAGCATAGTATAAAAAAAATGGGTGTGAATAGGCAAATGTTACTTTTACTGTAAAGTGCATTGGTTACCTCCATGGTTATGTTTTCAGCTGCCTTTGTTTGTTAGTTAGGGGGATTAAGCAAAAACTACTGGACGGATAACCATGAAACTAGGTATGTTGATGAAATAAGTCTGGCATGTTTAGAGGTCTGATATCTATATCTGATATTTATATCTATAGGTGTGTCCAGTTTGGTGCAACTTATTACTGATTGAACTTAAGGGGACTGACCAGTTACCTCCAACAAGGTGGTTATGTTTTTGTCTGTTTGTTTGCATATTTATTAGATTATTTTGTGGAGGGATGGGCCATGACCCAAGGAAGATCCCATTCAATTTTGGTGCAGATCAGTATCAGGGGGCAGATAAAGATTTATTTTTTTCTTTGACATTGAACCAATCTATACGAGTGTGGAGATCATTACAAACCAATCTGATGCTACTGCTCAA